AGTTGCTCTTGGCAGGGTTGCCTCCTACTAATGGTGAGTTTGGACCAGTCCAGTCATATGACTTGGTTCTATCAAATTGTCAGCCCACAAATTTAGTTGAAAGACATAAGGAGGGTATAAGGTGGTGTGTTAATCATGCATATTATCCCACAACCATATGTGTGGATTTATAAGACATGTTATATGTTTTGCTATACCACTTCACATGCGCACCAACTGTTCTCACACATGAGTAGTTGATTAGACTATTTGGTTACTGAGTCCTTGACTCATCCCGTGGTTCCATTTTATAAGTAAAGGCTCCGTTAGGGGTGAGGAAAAGGAAGGTGCAACCAAGCATCGAGGGGATAGCTCTCAGTTGTATAGTCCTTTCATTTATTTTTAGTTTGTAAGGAATATTGAATGCATATGCCAGCTTAGGACACACACACACACATATAGTTTTGTTGTATATATGTTGTAATGGCTGTGAGAGGTCAAGATACCAGTGTAAGTGTTAGTTTTGTATTGATTTATGTGTCTGATTGGCCATTAGAGTATTTATAAGAACTTGTTACCCTTTTGAAATTTATGTTCAAAATGAGGTTTTGGTGGTCAAATCTTGTCTAGGATATTGTGGTTGTGATTTAAATGTTTGAATAGGATTGCTTGTGGTCCATTTGAGTTGGATCAAGTAGTTCCACGACAATTGACATTTGGTTTAGGAGTTTGGGCACCTTGGTAATGATTTTTGAAAGAAAATAGCCATTTTGGGTTTGGATGTCCAAATCTCATTTGATCAATGTTAGAGTGTGGGACTAGTGCTAATAGCTAGGTGGCTCTAAGAGCTATGTGTTAACACTTGAATTGCTCAAATCAGATGTTGGGTAGTGAAATGACGTGCTCTGGAAGTTAGCCTAGAGAGCTATCATGATGGTAGTTTGCTATCATGATAGGACACACGCACCGCGACTTATTGTTCATTGCACCGTGACATAAGGCATAGAGAGGAGGCATTCCCCTCTGTGCAGTCCGCTACGGTAGACAATGCACTACACCGCGGTGCACTGTGCCTATATAGCTAGACTATTTTATTTATATATATGGTAGCCTGATGAATTTCTCATGCTTTTGTTGGCTTATTTAATTGATTTTAAACTATAGCTTAAACTCAAATGATCATTTAAAAAGGGTTTTTCTCGAGATCCCATTTTCTTAAACATTCTTTAACCCTTGAGTTATGATAACTTTATGGGATTAAGGAAATCTTAGTTATCATAACGTTGTTCCATGTTTGGTGTTCTGTGTGTTTGGTAATGTTGGAGATGACGTTACAAAAGTTGTGAGCTTTGATAAAAGAATCATATTTTGTGTAGTGACTAGTTACCACTATGGTTGAGGAGAAAAACTGAGTGAGTCTCGTCTGGTGTTTGATAAGCCATATTTATTACACACTTTTTCTTGTTATTATTAACAAAAAATCATGTTATATTTACCCAAATTGCACACTCATTGTATTAATTGTGAAAATTCGCCTAAGTGTAGGATTCTGTTCATTAAGGGGCATTTTGGTCATAAAATTGGACTTTTGAGAAAATGTTTGAGAAAATTCATCAAGAAGCATTTTTAGTCCAGAAGAACAATAGTCCAATTAGATTTCTCAAACTCTTTTTAGATTGAGAATAATTAATTTCACTAATTGATAATTTTGTAAAGTTAAAGTTTTGGGTTCACTTGTTTTCTTGCACTTGGTTTAGGTTATTTTTGTGCATGTATGGGCTTACAATTTTTAGGCTATTTGGCAAGCCCCAAAGGCTCTTTTATGATGTCATAATTAGCTTTTATTATTTAATTGCATTATATCACATAATTCAAATCCAAATTGACGCCATTACTCCCTCCAAATAGGCTCAAAATAGGCTCTTGATAAAATTAACTTTTAGACATAAGAAAAATTGGTATAATCTTGACCTAATGCAATTTAAATTGTAAAATTAATTCTTTTAACCAATTCCTAACCAATAAAATTGATATAATTCATCCAAATATTTCTTCCTTTTAGAGACTGATTTTCTTGAATTCTTCATGAATTTTGGATTACTTTTTTTAATTATACTTTAAGACACAAAACTCTCAAAAATTATACTTTAACCTCGATCAAGCTTGCTATTTTCAGGCTAACATTCACTCTTGTTTATTTTTAACTCTAGGTACTTTCTCATACTCTCATTATATTTAATTACATATAATTACCTTTGAACATTAATAAGTACCATCTAATCGTAGATAGGCTATTACTCTTCCTCACTTTTTTTTCTCTTTCCTTTTTTAGCCTAATTATAGTTGAGATATCTAACAAAAAGTTAAGGATATTCTCTCTGTAATAGTTAACCAAATTTAAGAAGTTTTTATATTTTAAACTCATCCTAGATTATTGTCTTTGTAAAGAACTGTCTTATACTCTATGGCTCAGTAACTTTTTATTAGGTCTACTATAATCATGAGATCTAGCTAGTATCTTGAGATCTAACTATGATCTCACAGAGCCATTTTTGGATCTACTATGATCCTTAGGATCTAACTGCAATCCTACTCTATGAGACTTAAGACACAAGCAATGGCAGACGTACATATATTTGAGTTCAATTTTGAGATATCTCATGTGAATATAAATTGTGTTTTAATTTACCCCTACTAATATGTTAATTTTAAACCCATTAGTTGAGTAAAAAATAAGGGAAGAGGAAGAAAGAGTGAGAAAAAGATGTCAGTCACCCACACCGAAGTAACATGTTAGAGTGCAAAATTTGTTTGGAGGAAAAGGGAGTATAATTGGATTTAGAATTTTAGGTATTAAAATTTTGAAAAAAGTGAAGTTGACAATGAAATTATGAAAATTTGATACAGTAGGTAATTGAAATGTTAGAATAATTTAAGTATTATGAATAATTTTTTTTAGAGTTTTATTTGAAACTTTTTAATTCTTAGGGGAGTCATTTGTTTTATTTTTAATCTTATTCTGTTACTTTTATTTGGTAATTTATTGATCCTTTGTACATTCATAAGAACATCTTGGGTATTCTAGGTTTATGATTTTTTGTTGGATTTTTGTTGTGATACCATGTACCCTACTTTTCCATTTTTGTTTGATTATATTTATGGAATGTGGTATGGTTGTTTAATATTGATGTTTTGGTTCTGATTCAATGTTTATTCTGCTGGTTATATTGTTTATGGATTTTTTTTGGGTTATTGAATGATTTAAATTTGGTTTTGTTAGCTAATTTTTTACTCTGATCTAATTCCTTCGATCATGATTTTTTTTTTGGTAAACAATTCTTTCGATCATGATTTGTTTTTTACTAGTTTGTTCCTTTTTTTTTTTGGTTGATATTTTATTTCTTTTTTCCTGAATTCATTTTGGAAATTAGCTTTTAAGGATATCATGGACAATATATTGTTCACTGTATATCTACAGCGATGAACCGACCGCACTTAAGATATAAAGGGTGAGGGTATTGATGTAATATACATCATTATACTTTACAATATAGATAGATTTAGTTCTGCTTCTTTTATTAATAAATTACAAACAGCTAGAATGCAAAAAAAAAAAAAAAAAAACAAACAAACGGCTAGTTATAAGTAATAAATTCATGAGGTATAATGCTAAATTTATGATTCTAAGTTTAACAAGTTTAATTTATAACAAATGACAAAATAAAAATTAGATTAATTATCTGATGTTTAGATTTATTGGAAAAAAAAATATGGGAGCATCCTTATGAATCAATCAATTTTTTTTGGGATCCATCACACATTTAACTAAAAAATCCCATTGGTGATAAAAAAAAGAAGAAGTTAAAATCAATTAATCAGTCAATTTAATTTATAATGATACTACCAGTAAATTAAATTTACAACAAACTGCCAGTAATAAATCGTGAGTTGTAACTAACTAATGCTTAGATTCTTTTTTTTAGTTTTTTATTGAGGAAAGTATAAAAGTAACGTCTCGAGTGCTTGTTTTATTTAATTTGTTATAGAAATATTTAATACATTACTTATTTTTTTAAAATCATTTTTCAAATCTTCTCATAAATACCCCATATTTTATGATATCTGATTTCTTTTATTAAAAATTTATTATTATATTATTTTAAAATTTTATGATATTTTCATCTATTTTTATAATTTTACAAATGTTTTTTTGTTATCTCATCATCATGTTATTTTAAAAAGCTACATGGTTCTTTTTAAATAAAAAAGAGTTACTCCCTCCGTTAAAAAATGTAAGATATTTTTAACTGAATTTCACTCCAATAAAGTAATTATCTATTTTTAAAATAACCCTATTTTTTATATTTATTTTTATTAAACACCCTATAATAAATATAAAGTCACCATCAATAGGGGCACTTTTGAAAAAAAGACAATAATTATACCTTAAAAATTAAAAATGCTTTATATTTTTAAATATTCAACTCTTTAAAAAATGCGTTACATTTTTTAACGGAAAGAGTATACAGTTTTCAAAAAAATAAAATATGTTTTTTATATAATGACTAAACAGTAATCATTTATCAATAAAAAATAATATAATTTTATCAAAATTGAATGGAAATCAATGTTTTTTACAAATGGAGGTACAAGAGATATTGTTTATCAATTATAACTATAAATAAAAAAATTCATTACTAATCATAAGGTAAAAAGTAAATTTAACTAGTTACTTTTAATTAACAAGACAAAAATTATATATAGAACAACATAACAACAGCAAAAACTATTCAAGATTTTAATAATAATGATAATAATAAAATAATAATAATAACAAGTACAGCATCTCCTGTCAGTCGGAAACATGATCACTTTTCTTTTATATTTATATTATATTATATTTTACGTTCAGGTTTTTAAAATGAGTTTCTCTTCCCCCCTTTCACCGTCAAATATTAATCTTATTTACTCATTAAATATTTACTAACTTTGGGATACCATCGTCTGTGAAGTTTCAAGAATAGCCACCGCCTCATTTGTCGACTCCTCACTTTCCCTCACAAGCTGTGCCGCGCTCTCAAGAATGCCACCGCCTCATTTTCCCTTTTTCCTGCGACCTTGCCTCCGCTTCTGCGACCTCGCATCACGTATCTCGGGTCCCTCCTCCAGATTGCTCTTTGTTTCTAACCTATGATCACCAATAATGGAGGATTCCCTTTTCAAATCTGGCTCTCTGGCGCAGGGGCAACACTCGGATCGTTTCAGTCTTCGTAATCTTACGCGCTGGGTTTTTCATAGCCCCCCTGCTCGTCAATGGAGGAGATTCGCTTTCTTGTTTGCTCGTCCCGGGCCCCTCCTTCAGATTGCTCCGGTAAGGGTTTCAATTTTCCCATGTGGGTTTCTTTTGATTTGGGTGAAATCTTTTTAAATATTGAACAAACTCCACAATCTGTTCTATGAAGTAAATGTATTATCAGATTCTCTCCCTCTCTTTTTTTAAACCAAAAAAAACTTATGTGCCAATTACCAAGAAAAAAGTAGGCTTATTGAGAGGGCATGTGGAATATCGGCCTCTCGCCTTCGAGTGAGGAGGTCGTATTGTGGGATTCCAGAGCCTTCAACTATTACGTTCAGGCAAAAAAAGAGAGCCGGTTACAACTTGCACTCTAGCCCCATTCTTTTCTTTAGTTTCTAGAGGAGGCGTGATTTTTTTCACACTTGACAGATTTATTATTTTTTGATTTGTTATCATGAGAAAAGGAATAGGGATGGAACTCGATCCTCTTAATCTGACTTAAATTGTGTCCTCTAACTTTTCCCCTTTTCCACGTATTGGACTGTAGCATAGCACCGTGCAAAACCCAATCCAATTAGACCCTGAACTCTAAATTCTAAATTTAAGTAAAAAGAAGAAGATGATTATGAAAAACTAATCTCACAACTCAAAGTGACAAATGTCCACACACTTAAATAAATGATTAAATTTTCAACTCGCGTGTGTGAAATAAATCAGGTTTAAAGTGATTTTTGTTGAACTTTATTTCTAATTTGTTTAATTGTTTATTCCTATCATAATTTGCTGAATATTGAATCAAGCATGGCGTTGCTCAATTACTTGTTCTCCATAGAGAAAAAAAAATGTCAGTAAAATTAAATTTGGAGGAGGAGAGGGCGAGGGCGAGTGGAGGTAGAGGACAGAGTAGCTGTGAAGGCGATGCTACCTGACGGCAATAAAATTTGGAAGTTAATGAGGACAAAACAAGCGAAGAATGCCCCGGTGTTTTCTCCTGTGCTGATATTGTAGCCATTGCTGCTCGTGACTCAATTGTTCTTGTGAGTTCACTTTACAGATAGATGTAGTTTTCACTCTCTGATTAATTAATTAATACATCCCTGTATATCAAAAGAGTTAATAACTAATTCTGTGATATATTTAACTATATTGAAGCTTGGAGGACCTGCCTGGAAAGTGAAGCTGGTAAGAAGAGATTCAAAGACAGCAGCTAGCTTGGCTGCTGCGAACATTAAATCTCCTTTTTCTTCACTTAACACTCTCATCTCCAACATTAAATCTCAGGGCCTCTCTGCCAGGGGACATGGTTGCTTTATCTGGTATTCCTACTTCTCCATTTATTGCCTTTCTCTAGAATCAATCTTTTAACATATCATTTTTAATATTTTTCATACTCGTCGGATTTAATTGTATGTATAATATTGTATGTATGTCTGTATATTGAGGTGTGCTAGTAAGTGGGACCTAAGTGTCACATTTTAATCAACTACGAAGATACCTATTTTATGTCTCCTTGTTTTAGTTAAAAGCCACATCACTTCCATAACAGACGGAGATGAGCTTTGATATTTTTGTTCATATTGAGCAAATTTATCAGTAACTTTGTAATGAAGTATTTACTGTTATTTACCAGATATGAAGAAAGTTGCCTTGCTTAAAATCCCCAGCTTCTTGGTCTGTTGTGTGAATTATTGGTCCTTTATTTAAAATCACTCATATCAAGTACAGATCAATCAGGCATATGTATTTTTAATAAAATTATAATCCTATCAAATATGTATATTGTTGATCAATGAAATGAATGAATTTATATGTCATTATCCTAATTCAATTTTCATATATTTTTCATTTTACCCTCACGAAAATTAAATGCTTCAGTAGGAAGTCAATGAGTCTTGGTCTCATAATATTTTTTAAAAATGGCACTCTGGTATACACTTTTGATGATATCTTTTCATTTTATACTGCTTTCAATTTTGCATTTGATTTTATTAGGTTTCTTTGGATCCTTTGACCTTAAGAATCTGTTCAGTAAAAAAAGAATTGCCCTTTGTCCTTTCATAATTTTAATTTATACCTTGGGATGCATACATAATTACATGGAATTAAGTCTACTCATTACGATAATTTTACTTATTTCTTTCTCTTTGTTTGCCAAAAGTTTACTTATTTCTTTCGATTTTCAAATTATTCACTTAAAAATAAGGTTCAATAATTTATTAGATCTTAGATTTGGGTAGCACTTATGAGTCAATCGACTTTATGAATTGAATGAGGAATTTTGGTGATTTATTAATAATATGACTTCACGAGCATTTGAAAATTTTTTGTTCTAGAATTCAATGGCATTAATCTTTGAATCTCTTTTGCCATAGTCATACTCAAAGTTTCATGTTTTTGAACAGATCTCTTGAAGGATATTGATGTTAAGCATGTCTTGAAGTATTGCATGTTTGGTTGTTTGAGATCACACCATCAACTTTAAGTGCTTGAAGAACTTTAAATTAGGTTGTATCCTCTCCTTCACTTTTACTTGTCATATTGCTTGTTGATTTCTCTAATTGGGAATTGTCTAAGGCCATGTTTGGTATGATGGAAGAGTTTTTAATGGAATCGGAATCAGAATTGGAATCGGAATTGAAATTGGAATTGGAATAGAATTGGATTTAAAAGTGTGTTTGGTATGATGATGGAATCCTGATATAATTTTAATAAAATATAAGTACTTAAAATAAGAAAAGACCAAAGTGCCCTTTTTAAAATTAAAAAAAATATATTGGAGGAGGGAGAAGGGGCAAACTGGAGAAAGGGAACCATGGAATCTATGATGCATGTGATGGAATTGGATTCTGTCAAATTTCCTTGAATCCAGATTCCAAAGAATCATAATTATTGCATACCAAACACACATATTAACAGATTCCATGTCCAATTTCATTTCTTTCTCCATGATTCCAAGCTACCAAACGAGGCCTAAGTGAGGGGGAGGTATTCATTAGGAAAAGGTAAAAAAAAAAAGCATCCATTGCATTTAGGTTTTGATATTTTCAAGCTTTCTTTCCCTTAGTTGTTGCGTTCATTTAGGTTGATAAGTTTGTTGGCATTGAGGGCTGTAACATTTAAGAGTGTGTTTTATGGGGGGGGGGGGTTTGTTTTAAGTCCTTTTGCATGGTTTTATGAGTTGGCCAAAATTTTTCTGATTTTTTGAAAAAGCTTTAGAAAATTAAATAAAAGTTTTGTTTTGATTATTCAAGGATGCTTGGTTTGATGAGATTGCCAATGAGATTTGAAGCATTAGACTTGGATGTTTCAAGTGTAGCTAGGATAGGATAGAATGTTCTACTTGGTTTGCTTGAGCTAGGGGATAACATTGCCTAGATGGAAGGTTATTTTGAGCCCATATTGATTCCTTTCTAGTGTGAATTATCCATTTATTCCATTTCATTCTTCAGAACTTGTTCTTATTCTTTATCAAAGCCACTTTTGCATATGTATTGTGAAGATGATAAAGGCATTCATATAAAATAGCCAGTATAGCCAAATAGCCAACCTAACGTGATTGTATCCTTTGCTTGCTACTTTGGGCCTATTGGTCAATTTCTTTCATCCCATTCATTATTTACACCCTCATGCTTTCCGGGAATGCAAGTTATGCTATATTGTTGTTGGGATCCATTTGCATATCTAGTATTCAAGTTGTGGATAGTCTGAGTTGTATTGAATATTTGATATAAATTGTGAATGAATTGAAGGCGAAAGCTGAAATGATTGTTTTGCAACGGCTAGAAAAAGAAAAGAAAAGAAAACAAAGAGAAAAAAGCCAATAAAAGATCGTCAAAAAGAAAAGAACACAAGGAGAAAAAGCCAAGAAAAGATTGTCAAAAAGAAAAGAAAAAGGCAATAGGCAATGTGAAAAGAATGTGGAAAAAAATAGAAAGAAAGAAAGCCAAAAAAAGGAAGAAAAGAAATAAGAGTGATTGCTTGCTTAGTTATGAATCACCTTGCTCTTAATTCATAGTATTGTATGTTTTCCATGTCTTGAACCTAGCTTATGCTCATGGATCCCATGTCATTGGTTTGTGAGATAACTGTGATATATGTGTTATACCCTTTTTCTTTCCACTTGCATTCCTACATCCACTTTTCACCCTTTACATTACAACCAAATGAAAGACCTTTTGATTCATGTATGCATTATGATAATAAGTGGTGGAGATTTAGAATATTTACAAGCCTATGGTAGAATGATTAGATAAGTGGACTTGAGTGAAAATTTACCCCTAAACGCTAGTGAGATGAGAGTGAACACTTTTCCTTGTGTGGTTATCTGCCTATCCAAGTTTACTAGGTTTGATTCCTGAATATTCTGGTTGCATGAGAATCATTTCAGGTTGAGCATAGAGAATTGAATTGGCATAATTATCATTCTAAGCATGATGAACTCTTTAATGTTTTCTTGATGAGTGATATTTCTTTCCTTCTTTTCACCATCATTTTCCTTGGTTTTTCTTACTTAATCTTTACAAAAATGAGTATTTTAAATGTTGAGTTATCATTTTGGGATTTTTAAGGTGAAAAGTTTTGGGCTAAAATTGTAATTTTCAAAGACACGTTCAAAAAATTCTCAATTTTTATTTCTTCCTAGTTAAGGAATAAATCACGCATAACTTTAACTCAAGACACTTTAATTACTTAGTTTAGCTACTTCCTAGTTTGCCTTCCAGCTTATGTGTCTAAGTGTACTGGGTTTGGAACTAACTTTGGGAATAATTGAAGTTTGAGGCTATGAAATTTTCTTATTTAAATTAACTAATATTTATAACAATTAATTTTTCTTTCCATTCTACTTCTTTTGTTGCATGTCTCCCTTCTCCTGTGATGGATTTTTTTTGAAAGAGCTTGAGTCTCTTCAGTGAACAAGCTAACCTGAGCCTGTGTAAGAACTGATTGGTATCATTGACGGGCAAGCTGACGTGGATGCACAATTTAATATAAGTGTCAAGCAAATATAAGAAATGCACATGTAAGTGGTTTGGATTGATTGTGTTTCCTTTTCCTTTTTCTTTTTCTTTTAAATAAAGTTTGGCTATTTTCTTCTTCACTCTATATGATTGCCGAATTTCTTCTATTTCTAAAAATATTTGCTTAACTTGTTAATTTATGCTATGTCTGTTGTTGTTTGTTATCTTTATGACTTTTGTGATTCTCAAACTATTTGTATGCATTATTACTAACACATTTGCGCGTACTCAGATGTCTTTTGTCCTTGAATTTCTCCCATTGCAGAGGCTGGTACTGACCAAATTGATTATGTATCGGTTTTTTTCATTATTTAATGGTTATGATTCTCAATCATCCTCTCGTGCTCCTTCTTTATAGATTGAAATTATTTTGAGAGAAATTTAGATGGTGTCATTATGTTATTCCATTCTTAAAAGGCATCTTCGTGCAGTTTTCTAGGTTTAAGGTGGTTCAGGTCAGTCAAGGTATCTTTGGCCATGAAGCTGTATTATTGCTAACCAAGAAGGTTGCAAGCACCTTTGCTGGATGAGACTGCGGATCTTTAACTTTGTGTTTGCTTTGGAGGAATTTAATGAATGTTTAACTTCTAGATTGGTGTGAATGGGTATGCATCAGTCTTGCCTTCCTATAGAATTTTCAATTTTGCACTTGCTATTACTGCACGGATATTTTCTGACCAGGATATGTCAAACTTTGCAGTACTATTACAATGATACATACTTGGATGGTGATAAACAAAATGCAATCAACATGAGTCAAATGAGCCCATTTTTTCAAGTTATATCCACATAATTGTATATATTAACTTATTTGATTTGCATTGAAATGAAGTTTTATGATTTATTATATATATGGACCAGGCTTTTCAGCATTGTCAGCCACAACAGGGAAAAGCAGTGTTATGGGAGCTAGATTCGTATTAGTCTTACAATGTTGCCAAGCATGGTTTAGTTTTTACTGATGATAACAATAGGTACATATTGTTTTATTTGACTGCTCCTATTCATGTTATATCAATATAATCAAGCATCTAAGAGGACATTTGTGGAATGTCTTTCTATCTTCTTCCCATATGAAAGATCTTAAGTTATGAACTATTTTAAGAGTATTTAGTGCTTCTTTATTTATTTGAAAATATTCCATTTGGTCCTTACTCTATTAACAGAACTTGTCATGTAGCATAGTCTGTTACTTTGTTTTTGGTAGGAGCTGCAGTAAGCAATATAGAATGATATCTTTTCTATTTGCACTAATGACCTCTTTATTGAAAATTTTTTATTGGCTATGGATTCTTGTATAGCTTTACTCTAATTCATGCTTCTTGTGCAATGATGGAAGTATATCTCCTTTTTTGGGTTGTATAAGTAAATATTCAAGTCATCCTTTGTGGAAAGATTGACACTACTCCTTTATTTTGGCAGGTCAACTATTAAAATATCGCTATCAGATGGAAATGTTGTTTGTTAAAGTGACACAATTGGGAACATAGATGATACAAACAATCAGCATTTATCTGAAAAAGCTGATGACCAATGTCTGTCAGTGTCTGATGCGTCTTTACTTGTGGAAGTGATATTTGTCAATACAGGTACGCTCATGTGGCATTTTGAATGTTGTAAATTCTGGTAGTAACGTATATCCACAAGCCCGATACAGTGATATTTAATAAAAAGCAGAAAGTTCGTTCTGACAAATTTGGAAAGAACAAAGATTCCCCCTGGAGAAGTACAGCAGCAAATGTAAGATTACCATTTGCCTGAGAACTATTAATGTGCTAACATTTTGATATGCACAACACTGTCAATTGGATTTCTTGCAAATAAAATTAGAAGAAGAATGTGTAGATGAAAACTTTTAAACTATGCTGAGAGCATCTTTGAAGCAATGATGTGGTTTTGTATTTTATGCATGCCAGAAGCTTTTATTTAAAACAGATGATGAGGAATATTACATTTCCCTACCTGAGTCATACATTTTGGAGTATTGTATTGTCATACACTCATAACAGATGCGGACTCTTAATGCCTAGAGGTCTCTAATAAGTAGTCATTTCACTACTTTTTTCTCCCTGCCAAACATAATACGCCATTTGAACATAATAACAGAGAAAATGATTGGGGATGTTTCGTCTGATTTGCCTCATTATCTGAATCAGCCAAATCCATCTGCTAATACACAAATGTAATTGGTGTGAAATAAATTGAATAGCTGGTCTCTTTTACTTTTCTTTTTCCCTATCTTCCTCTTCCTCAGTTGTGTTGTCTTCTTCCTCATAATTGCCCTCTTCCTTCTTGGATTTTTGCTTCCTTTTAGAACGACAATAGAGGTTTCAACATGCTTACACCACATTAAGATTTTCATCAATACTCTCCCCTGTCTTCTCCACATCATCAATACTCTCCCCTTCCTTTCTAAGACTTTAATTCTTTCTGGTGGAAGAGTAACCCAAGAACACAAACTTTGATAGCTTGAGGTTCAAGTTTGGTGGATGAATGGAGATGAATAAAGGCCTGCACCCAAACTTTTAAAGGAAGATTGGTCTCAAGATGAGAGAGAGTGTGTTTGGCACAGACACTCAAGTGGAGTAGAATAGGACAATATTTTACTAGATATGATTAATGAGTAAGAATGGCATCTGCCCAAAAGTCACCCCAAAAGTATAGTAAATGTATATTTTTTCATTCAGCCACCCCATTTTGTTGAGGGTTGTTAGCATAATAAGTCTTATGAATGATTCCTTTAGACTTAAGAAAGTTGATAATTAACATATTCAGTTTGCAGAATTTTTAATAAATGTGTGAAATTGGTTCAATATCATTGTGAAGAATTTGATGAAAATAGATGTCACATTAGACTTATCTATGAAAGATATACCCAACACACGTCATCAATGGTATGGGTTCTATTAGGAGCACGAGAAGGACCCCATACATCACTATGAATGATAGAAAAGAGGGCTTATAGAGGGCTTATATTCAGAGCGTGGAAATGAAGATTGATGATGTTTGGGTAACTCACAAATGTCACAAATATCAAGTAGTGGATATTGGGATGACCCATTCTTTTTTGCCATAATAAAATATCAACATTTTCAGAGGTAGATGTAAGGTTGCAGTGGATATGAGACTAGAGATTACTCACGGTTGACTCATCCAAGTAGTAGAGTCCATCACACTCCTCAGCAATCCCAATCATAGGAACATGAAGGATAGAACCCAACTGTAAAAATTCAGAGATAGTAATATTGCCCTTTCCAGCTATAGTAGAAGAGGTTTTCTCACGTCCACTGACATACGATGTAAATAATGTAGAATCCACAGTCATGTGATCAAAGGCCCTTTCAGCTCTTATCCCATTATATTCAACCATGTACCCTTCTCCCTTCTTTTGAATGGATTGCGTAAGTGATTTAAAAGAAACCAAAGTCTTGGTTAAAAGTTGGATCACCTTGTAAACATACCTTTACTCTTCTTACCAATCTTCATAGTCAATTGCCCCCAATTTACCCTTACTTCTAATGATTTTATCCACACCACTGAGTGGAAAAGGATATTGAATAATGTTCAAACCCTGTACTTGCAGCTTGAGGTCACTACAGCGTTGCTTCCCTTTAAAATTGAACCCAATCACTGTTGATCGAATAAACAGCAATTTCCTCTAATTAGAAGTTATGCGATGAAGTTACGAGTGGCTCTATGATCAATTAAGATCACAATTTCAGCCTTTTTGCACATTTGAAAACACAAGCGAAGCTCTTGCCGTCTAGCTAATTCAGCATTAGAGAGTCGTGTTCATCCTCCCAGACGAGTTGACGTTGGTCCAGACTAGTTTCAACCCAGTTTTGAATGCTCCTACCAAGTAAGCCTTTGACACATCACTCACCATGGTTGATACTCGCTCAAACTCTTCCACGTATTCACGTGCAGAGCCTCTTGCTTCACGGCTAGCATCATCTTGTACTCGTCCCCTATTTGTGATGGATGAAACCTGCACAATAGCTCCCTTTTAGACTACATTCAGATAGGGGCTCTGGTTTCGACCCATTGATGCCAGTTTAGAGCTTTTCCTTTCCTTCCAAACAAACAATTGCTGTGTTTCAGCTAATAAGAAATAAAGTACCTCTCCACTCGAAATAGCGAGGGGTCCTCCCCATTGAAAATGGGTAACTCAACTTCTTTCTCATGGTCTCCTATACTTCATGGCTGGGTTGATCTTGTTCATGGTTGTCAGTTGCCTGTTTCTATTTTTCCATTAATTGATCCAATGTTCCTTGCATCTTCTGCATCATGTCTTTCATTAAGGTCATGTCTTTTTAATTTGCCTGTACGTCACAAGCAGGGCAAACTTGGCTATCTTACGGGTACAGCAACAAAGCCGTCTACAAATATACAGCTTGGGAAACTGACAACTCCAAGCATGGTTAGTTAATTCAATGACTATTGAAATTAGTACTCACTTCTCCTTCTACCAGTTAGCACAAGAAGTATGGGAAGCTCCTAAAGATATGTAAGGCTGCCCATATTAGAGATAGCTACACAATTTTAGAAAAGGTAATCTATCGGTCACATAATACTACACGAGTTTGGTTGTCAGATGGCAACAACTTAGTAATGTCACTCAAAGCTCAATGACAGATATTCAAAATTCCTACTAAATTTGATGAAGTGAGGAGTAGAATAACAAGTCTCACATTGCTCGGCCAGTCATATGTAGAGCCGGGAAAACGGGCCGAGCCCGTCGGGCTAGCCCGTTTAAGCCTGTATAAGAGTAGGACTGGGCTTGAAAATGGGATTCCAAAATGATAAATCGGGCTTAAACGGGCTGCCCGTTTAAGCCCGTTTAATTTAGGGCTTAAAAGGGCCGGCCTGCCGAGGGCCAGCCCGTTTAAGCCCGCATATACATTTTTTTTAATTAATTCTCATAATTTTTACTCTTTTTAGATTTGAAAAAAAATAAACTAAATCTTACTTCACATCACATATTAGCCCATATTTACTGAGGATGGAAGGCAAAAAAAAAGAAGGAAAAATAGCAATGAAGAATCACTGATAAAAAAATTATATCAGTCAATGATCACTTGTTGTCAAAATTTGAGTAGATACTTGTGGATTCAAGTTAGCCTTTATCAATAAGTATTCATTTAGGTTTTAATAACAACTTATTTTAATTAACAATAGTTCATTGTAGCTTGTTTTTCATTCAGGTTTTGACAACAATTGATTCTTAATTGATATAAATTTCATACAGAAATCCTTGGCTACTATTTTTTAAAAAAATACAACCTTAAAATCCCTAATTCATCTAGATCTATGATAATGATTCATTCAGTTTAACATTTACTCTTCTAATTTTGATTGGGTGTTTGTCGGCTTAGCTGATCTATTGCTTATTGCATTACCATCATTTTATTTGTGTTTTTAGTTCATTTAGATGTTATTTAGTTTTTTTTGTATGAAGTAATTTTTTATTTGATTAAAAAATTAAAAAAAATAAAAATAGTTAAAAGGGCTTAAAGCCCGCAGGGCCGGCCCTGAACCCGCTATGTCAAGGGCCGGGCTTCAAATATCAGGGTTCTAAAGGGAACTCGGGCTTAAAAGGGCCAACGTCTTGCAATCCATGTAGCCGACCCCACCTAGTGGGATAAAGGCTTGTTGTTGTTGTTGTCTGAAAATATAAGACACTTTAATAAAAATAAGATTTCATTAATAATACTTTTTTAAAATTACTCTTATATATTCTTTCTTTTCAATCACTGTTTTGAAAACTGGATCGGACCGGCCGGTCGAACCGCCGACCGGTCTATTTTTTGGTCTGGTTCAAAAGAAAAAACCGTTTTAAAAGTTGAGTCGGTTTGAGCCGTTTCAAACCGACGGTCGGATCGGGAACTAGCAATTTTCATATGTTCTTATATTTAAATTATTATATACATATATAATTTTTTTTAATTTAATTATTACATCACCGGTTGGACCATTGATCCGGTTGAACCATGCGAATCGTGAACCGCTGACTTTTCCGGTTCAATGTCCGGTCCGGTTCTGAAAATATTGTTTTCAATATTCTTTCATCAATAAAATATTAAATGAAATGTATTTTTAAAAATATTTTTATCTTGAAAAGATAAGGGTGTAAAGTATATTTAATAAGCTTTTTTATCTAAAAATGTCTTATATTTTGAAATAAAGGAGTAATATGTACTCTCATAGAATTAAAAAAAAAAATAGGAAACTCACAGTCATGCCATTGGCAGCATTATTGAGAGTCGCCATTAATAAAACCAAATGGATGCCTGGCCCCAAAAAAAAAAAAAAAGTGGATGCCAATTCACGGTTTACTCGGCCCCTCCTTTTAAAATTATAAAGACACAATTATTTTTTTTTACTTTCATAAAAAAAAATGTTATACTACTCTGGTCATTATTATATAAGACACCTTGTATCAGAATTAATATTATTCATATACATAATTGGGCTAGGGCATTTCAGGTTAGCTTGAAAGAAGTCGAACATATATGCCTGTTTGATTAGTTATCTAATTCATGGAGGTTAAAAAATAACAAAGGGGACTAGCTTGATTTAAAACCATGGTGTTCTTATGTTCAAATAATTTCCCTTGAGGATAAAAAAATGACAATTAAAGACCCTCTAAGAACATTAATCTCAATTAAAGATCATATCATTTTGAAATCCTAGTTAAGGATCATGGTCTTTAATTGGAATAAAAAATGTAGTTTGTGAGGTGAGATTCACTAACATCACTTGGGAATTCACTAATCCAAAAAATTGTTAATGTATATTATGAAAATATGGGAATCGATTGTTCTAAAGTAAATTGTGAAAACATAAAATTTCACCTGAATCAATTGTTTAACAAAAACGTTACTTTTTTTATTCTAATTTGTTCATTTTAAAATAAAAAGTAATTCAAATTTAAAATATCCAAATTAGATATGAGACTTTTAATTTTATCTAACATATAAGATATATCTTCACTAGCATTTGAACTTTCATTTTTTGTAATACCATTGCCTACAGTCAATAATTCAGGTCAAGCCTGACGGACCAACCCGAACCTACCCCAAAAAAGTTAAGGTCGGGTTTGACTATATGAGCTTTTTTAAGAGGATAAAATACTTTAAGAATTTGTGAAAATGCGCAAAGGCTCTTATCCATTTTCTTTTGATGTAATGTAACTTTTTCTTTAAAGATTCCATTATCCTACTATGGAACACATCACATTTTAAAATGGAAACAAAGGAATTACTCAGTCAAGGCTGGCTATTGTTCTCTCTCTATTCAGTACACCAACAGTGATTTCACACTCTTCCTAATTCTTTGATTTGTCCCTTTGGATGTGATGCTCAAGACTCTCAAATCACATTTTTTGTAGATTTGTAAAGTCGAAACATATATAAGTTGCACCGGATTATAACTCTATGTGGAAATTGAGTTATTGTATGAACTCTACTGGGGCTCACAGTAAATTTACCAATGGCAAAGAGGAGAGGAGAGAACAAAAAAGGGAAGTTTTCATTCTGGAGATATTGCAGAGAGTACACCAATATGGTATCGTGCGTCCTATATTTGACTCCCACTCCATGCGAGGTTCTCATACTAGAAAGTAACCACTTTCTCCACAATATAGGAAGAGGAGAATATTACACTTAAAAATCCAAAGTATTATGATAAATCCCATTCCCATTCATTAATGTGGACTTATCTTTGGGTCTAATTTATTGAGGGTAGATATCTTGTAGGTCCCTATTTACTGGAGCCATCTGGCTTAGTTCTTGTTTGTTCACTCTTCTAATTACTCTAATTCAGGATTAGTTAATGTAATTGGATGTTGGAAACTTCAGAAAACTTAGCCTTGGCTGATAAGAATTTCCAAACTATAGAATTATTTTTCTTCTCCTTCATATGATTTGGAACAAATGAAAACACTGCTCTACACAATGATTTTCGTCAAACCCCATTGCAAGTGCTTAGAGAATTGCATAGTCAGTTTCATTTTCTTAAATAAGCCTGTAAAAGGAATTCCGGAACAAATAAGATGCAATTAGAAATCACTTGTAGCCAAATTGATCAGCATCATACAAAGGATTGAAGTATCATTTAGATCTCGATACTGGGTCAAGCCATATCAAATTTGAATTGGAAAAATATACATCACTAAGTTTAAAAAGAAAGTTGTACATAGCTATCTATTATCCATCTAAATGAGATCGATTCACATCAATTTAACTTACATGTATGAGATCGATTCTATTCTAGATCCAGATTAATGCGTGGAACTTAATTACGTCAGTTGGGTACATTTCGTATTTGTCTCCAAAAAGGCCATTATATTCGATCAGCTGAGCAAACTTCAATAGGACATTCATCGCTTGCTTCAAGATTACTGTTCAGTTTCTGTCTCAAAGCTTGATATTTCTATATTACCCGTTGATTCCTTTTCGTTTTTTCATGTCTTTTTTCATTAACTGTTGAAAATTATGCCCTAGAACCAATTATTGTACTATACACATTGTTATTTAATGAATTTCTCTCTTGTTATCATATCAACTACATGTTCACTATGATAACTGTATCCTTAGACAAACTAAAATGTCTGTCTCTGGTCGGTCATCTATAAGAGATCATAGATGAAACAAGGTTAGTATGACTTTAATTAATTATAGAGATATAAATCAAAGTCATGGACACTTGAAAGAGTATAAGGTACTGGACTAACCTGCTATGAAAAAGCTGAATGGTATAAGTCATCAGCTTATCTCATATGTAACTATATCACTAAGCCCTTTGACCTAAGATCATCATGAATTCTTACATAATGACCATTGAACTATGACCTAGTCAAAAGTCACCTTTGACCGAGTGATCATAAAAGCTATAATTGAGTTTAGTGATATTTATGTAGAGGAATATGAGTGGTCAAGATGCAATTTGTCCCTCACGTTAAGTGAGAGATATTACTGGATCTCTCGATGAGTAAGACTGAAAAAATATATGGTCATACTACAATGGAAAGAGTTTTTTTCATTGCTACAGTCAGTTCACTTAGAGATCGAGAAAGTAATGGTTAGGTAAAGAAAAATGACAATTTCATGTCTCATACTTGACTAAAATATCATATGACAAAAGGGATGTAATATGGTTACATGATAAGTTACATCGGTTCATCAATCTCCATATGAATTTGATAGTTACAATGTCTTGCTAGAGGTCACTTGTGACTTGTGGGCTAATAACATAATTAGTCTATTGCCAATTTTATATAAGCCTACAGGGTCGCACATAAGAACAGCCTAACTCAAGCTATAATATTCAAGT